GGAGATGGACTCATAGGCCAAAGGAATTTGGATGCAAGTAGCTGATCACTCAGTGCAGATTGCCTGTATCCCTGGCACCATGACACATGACTTGTCATCCATGCCCAGCTTTCCTTCGTGGCGTAGCGGAGGATGTTGCGAATAGCAGTGCACCGCGTGGTGCCCAGTCGAACAGCTTCTTGATCTTCCACAGCTGTCTCATTGGCACCACTACTTCCAGCATCTTTGTTGGATTTCGTGGGTCGGCCACGTCGTTGTCGCTTTTTCGCCTGGTTGCAAAAGTAGAGGCAAAAACAACAGCAAGTTAGTTCCAGATTGTGAGAAAAGAAAATATAATATACAAATTACTAATTGCAAATCATTAAGACATGGGCCTTGGAGCTAAGTCACTTGGACAACTGCATCAGTCACACCTTCAACATCCATGGCTTGCTGGTAGTTGGCACAAATCCGATCAAACGTGGCCATCAATGATGCACCACGTGCACTTCTCTGATCCAAATCAGTGGAGTCAAATATAATATTTGTATCCACCCCATCCTGATGGACAGCTGGTGGAAAAATATGAGCTTTGTGAGAATCACCAATTTGCATGGTAAAAATATCAGCAACAAAAATGATTGCAACACCCAGGGTACTGGCAAGGCACAGGATACAAACAAAGGGCAGTGAGATGCACCCATTGTAGGGGGCTCAAAGGCTGAATGAGGGTGCCTCGCACATTCTGTTTCAGCGCTGCTTGGACCAATCCGTCTTCATGGTTGTCATCTGTGAAGCCTCAGAGATTCAAAGCCTGTGAGGAAACATAGTAGCAAAGGAGTTGCAAAACATTCTAAATATTTTGCTCTCCCTTTGCCAAGGTGCATGTGGGAATTTGAAGCAATGACTTGTAAATCTTTTTCACCTTGAAGTCCTGCAAAACTGATGTCACACCATCTTCAATCATGCCCTTCATGAGTGACCACCTCAGAGGGATTGGCAGGCATGTTTCACCAGTTGCAACTGTACATGTCCTTCACCACTTGATGGGTCACTGAACCTTTTATATTTCACCAGGTTTCTTTATTTCCACTCAGTCTACTTTTTGATCAAAAAGGTCACTATCCTGACCACAATTCATGATCTTGGTCATCAACATGAACAGCAATCATGACCATTACGAGGATCGTGATGATGATCTTCACATGGACTGTTTTATGACTGTACATCCCTGCCATCTTGTTTGACTTCAAGATTATGATGTTGATCTTCTTGTGGATCATCATCAATCCTTGTTACTTCTCTTCACCAATGAACAGCTTGTTAAACATCAAGGTTGCCATCATGTTCACACTGTTATTCATCATTTTTGTCATCACCATGACCATCAGAGACATGATCTTGCATCAAAAGAAAACATCATTACAAACCCCATCTAGGTTGTCTTCAAGTTGAACACCCTGTTCATAAACAAGGCCACCATTAAGACCACAATGTTTGCATCATCTTGATCAACAACATCAACAGAAACATGTTATTGATCAAATGATGTGCATCATTTGGACCATTGTCATGAATAAACATCATGTCAA